GTCTACCCAAAGGTGCATCCGAGAGCCCCACAGGAACTGTGGACACATGCAATAAAGGACTCTTCTTTGGTGTTCTATTGAGAGTCAAGTATGAAGTCCTCCCTCTCGATGGTCTATGTGGTAGGGAGAACAGGCTGACTGACTGCAGTTGGTGAGGGCTACCCATCCAGTTCCATCAGAAGGTGAGGTCTGGATATCTTCTTTGACCCCACAGGGTGGGAGGGACATTGAAGTATGGAGGGTTATTGATGCTGGGCAGGCAGGAGGGGAAGCCCACAGACTCTGACTTTGAGCCCAAGAAAGAGAGAGATGGAGGCAAGAGGAGAGGCTGACTTCTGTTAGTGGGGAAGGAAGGAGGAATGAACAAACAGAAAGATGAATAGATGGGTCAACAGAAAGATGAATGGAGGGAAACGATGACGAAAGGAGGTAAAGAAAGAAACAAGAGAGAGGAAAGAGGGAAGTAAGGAGGGGGAGAAAAGGAGGAAGGAAGATGGTAGAGACAGGAGAAAGAGAGAGGAAAGAAGGACGAAGAGGGAGGGGTGTATGATATGTCTAAGTTGGTAGAAAGATGGATATTTGAATGAATAAGAGGGTGAACGAGTGAGTAGATGAGTCATAGATATATGAATGGGTGGATGGGTGGATGTGTGGATGGATGGGTGGATGGGTGGGTGAGTGGGTGGGTGGGTGAGTAGATGGATGCATGCATGAGTGGGTGGGATAGATGGGTACATGAAATGATGGAAGAATAAATGAGGGATGGATGAGCAGATGAAGGGGTATATGGGTAGGTAAGTAGGTGAATAAAAGGATAGGTAGGTAGATGATGGATGGATGGGCAGGTGAGTGGGAGGGTGGATAGACGGGTTGGCAGGAGACAGGAAGATAGGCAGATGGGTAAGTGCATAGATGGGTAAGTTGCATCTCTGAGACTCAGTTGCTAGGCTACATTCTCTGAGTCTGGGACCATTTAGGAGTACCCAGAGCACGAAGTGGGAATGTAGCCTTCTGTGGAGTTGTGTATAGCCCAAGACCCCTCAGACACCACAGATCTTACAAGGACAATGTGCATCCTGCCATCTGAAGGGCCACCCTGTTCCTTTAGGCTGCTGACATGTGGACCAGTCCCTCTGCAAGAGGATCTGGCCACCAGATGTTAGGTTGGCACTAATGAGCACAGTCTGGTGGTCACTAATTGACTGGGGCTCTGGGCACTAGAGATAGATGGAAACACAGATAATTACGATGATGATGATGATGAAGAAGAAGAAGAAGAAGAAGAAGAAGAAGAAGAAGAGGAGGAGGATGAGGATGAGGATGAGGATGAGACTGGTAGGCCTCTCACAGGGCTCGGGGGACCCAGGCAACTTCAAGACAGGCTGTGGGAAGGCAGGCGTGGTTGGCAGCTACGTGGCTATCCATCCCATGTGAATACCCAGCACTTTCCCAGGTATCCCATGACCTGCCCACCTCCCGCCATGACCTTAAAATAGGAAGTGGGGTCACATGGGAGCAGGAGAAGATGCCCGGCGCTACACACAGTAGAGCAGAAACAAGGGAGTGTTTGCTGAATGGAAAGAGAACAGTGGCCCTCCAGGGTGAGCACTGGTGAGGGGGATGGTGTTACAGCCAGTTTGTCCATAAACTTGTTCAAGCGATTTATGAGGCTTGGCTGGCTTAGGGTAGGGGCAACAGACCCAGGCAGCTTCTAATTGAAGTCGGGAGAGGAGAGATTCTGTGTTAATGGCAAGCACACCGTCACTGTGGCTGCCCCCCGAAACTGCACTGTGAGCCAGCTACCGAATGTTTCTTTCTTACTGGTAACACATACCTGCCGTGACAAGAAGAATCGAAGGTCGCAGCCACGCTAAGGTGCACACGGTACTTCCGAGGCATACTGACCCTGGGACTCAGGAGTCTAAAGAGGGCTGAGGAGGTTCCCAGCACCTAAGAAGCACATGGAATTTCTGCCTGGGGCAGCTCCAAACCAGCCCAACATCACGTTCAGAGGCTATGGCTCATAAACCTACCCATTTTTATTTCCAATGGCCTTGTGCCTACTTGAGGGGATGCCCTTGGCTCCTCCATGGCAGGCTCTTCAGAATCCCCCTAATTCTTTGTCTTTCACACAGTAAGGCACTGGTGTTGGGACAGAGTGTTTGCTGAGCCTGTGCCATGCTCTGGGTTGGGCCATGCCCTCTCTGGACTCCAACATAAAACCCAGGAAAGATGATCAGTCAGTCAGGCTCCAGCATCCAGGAATCCCATGTGGCGCCTGACAAAGGTCTACTCCTGGCTGAGACACACTGTCCCATGTGAACAAAGTAATGCTGTTCCTGGGACCAATCAGCTGGGTGTGTGGAACCCTGGCAGTCACAGCTGACCTGGGACAGAGGGGCGGGTGATGGCATCTCACCAAGAGTGGCACCCCTCCTAGGTTCGGCAACAAGACATGTAAGGAAAGGGGCTGGAACGCTCAGATGGAGATCCTGAGGCTTCTTCCTGGCCATTCTGTCCTCAACTGTTCACTCCAGACTACAGATTGACTTTCTCAAAAGTAGGTGATTGAGGGGACAGAGAGGGACCTCCAGGGTCTTAGGTGACAGTTCAGTTGACAAGGTGGTAATGCCTGAGAACGGCACCCTGAGACACTCAGAGAGTGTCCTCTGGTCTCCACAGGTACCCACCCACAAACGCATGTAATATATACTTGTACCCATTCACTATTTACTCATACACAGGCGCACGCTCGGCGGATCGGAGGATGAGATTACTCATACGCATGCGTGTGAGTGCACGCAGGCGCACTCACGGTGGATCGATGAGAGACCCGAGAGAGCTGGAAACCCAACTCGGAGGCAGAGGAGGAAGTCATGTCTGGGGAGGGGACAAAGCTAGGTTGCCTGTCTGTACTTGTGTAAGCATCAACTGGCCCCTTGGCCACTGAGATCACGTGCTGTTGTCTTAGCAGGGTGCCAGGGAGCCTCAGCACGCCATGACACACGCATGAAAGGTGCCAGGGAGCCTCAGCATGCCATGACACCCGCATGAAAGGAAGTAGTTCAAACTGTCCCTCCTGTCCTGTCTCCCAGGTTAGCCCACGGCCACTGAGACACACCCATGTCACTGTCCAAGAGCCCTCTGCCCCACCACAGGCCACGTTCACATCCAGAAAGCTTTGCCACTCATCTGGTTTAGTTGGAAAGACACGGCAGCGCCTGAGAGATGAGCACATGGGGCTTTTGTGATGCAAGTAGGATGGAACCCCAAGTGGCATCATTCCACCCCCACAGCCAGGTAGCAGTATAGTTCTCAAAATGTGGAACTTTAAGTCTTGGTGATCCAGCAACAAGAGCAAACGAGTAGATTACACAGAGTTGGGTTTAGGTAGAGGACATGGTCAATCCAACAGTCATGGCCACTGGGGGCCTTTACAAGGTCAAGAATTCCTGGCTGGGCACAGGACAGAGGGGGCCTTGCATAGGCAGGTCATACTATTGCTGAATAGGCCCATTGTCTCCCTGGCAATATGGCGCCCACACCATGCAGGGCATCTTCACCAAGCTGTTCCCGACCCCTGACAGAGACCTTGTCTGAGGACTTCGGGATCTGGCTCTGCAACCTCTGTGGGAACCTACTGTTTTGGGGCCTGGGCATCTATCAGGGGCCTGACCTAGGCATTGGAGAACATGAATGGTCATAGGGCCTATGCTTATGCCTGACCTGGGTCCTTGGCCCACTGTGGGTGGCTATGCATCTCGTGGTCTGGGTAGGTATAGAACAGAGATGGTTATAAGCCGCCATAGAGATGCTGCACACGGCAAACATGGCTAGGCAAAGAGTGAAGATCTCTCTCTCTGCTCCACCTCAGCCCCTGTTCTGTGTTTGTTTCCCCTAGGGGTCCTTTGAGGAAAAGCCTCTAGTGACCACCACATTTTTGACACCCCCTGCAAGGCTCAGTGACACCGAGAAAGCCACATTTTCAGTACATGTCCACACTGCCAACTCCTATCAACCTATTGACTGGACATCTTCATGCGAGCCCTCAGCCCACTCACTCTGTCGATATGTCTGCACCATGTGTCTCAATGGCACAGCCTTGTGACAGAGTAATGCCTGTTGAAATATCTGCAGGGCCAGTAGGGCATGGAGGGTGCTCTGGGCATAAAGACCCCAGGCTCTCGGAAGGGCATGGCACCAGAGGGGACGCTCTGACAGAACTTGCTGGATGGAGGAGGCATCTGGCTTACCTGTGCCTTTGCACACGATGGAGGGGAACAGTCGGATGAAGCCACCTTTCCAAGGCCCTTCCCATCATCAGGGGACAGGGAAGTTGTGCTCGGGGTCAATTCTCTTTTATTTTTCTCCTGAGTCGAGTGTCAAGTCAGGTCTCAGAGCCAGTATGAGCTTGTGTGTGTCTCTGAGGCCTCAGCAGGTGGCTTCCAGCTTCCTTCCCAGTCTTGTTCCGTAGCCCTGGTCCTTGTTTGTGAGCACCCTTCAATGTCTATGCCTTTCCCAGACACACAGGTGTCCCCAACTCCAGAGGGGTCACCTCTGTGTGAGCTGATAATCAAATGAACTAGAGATGGTGCTCTTGGGCACCTTAGGGTGTACAGAGAGAGATGAAGGCTCCTGACCTGGACTGGAACAGGGACAGAGAACCAGAGTCAATTAGACAGAGTGGGGAGACATTCCTGAGAGCTTCCCGGAAGAGTACGTATTCAAAAAGCAATGTTTTGAGGGTCTGCTAGACATTGTCCCTTGAGCCTGGGAAGTGAAGAGTCGTCTTCCTGTACAAGGCAGCGCCCTCAGGCTGCCTCGTTCTGAAATGAGGCCTCTTGTGTGAGAATCCCCAGGCCTCTCAACCTCACCCAGGACTCTCTCTGTTTATCTCACCCTTCAGGGTATACAGGGGTTCAGAGCCCCACCAAAGGCTCTGACGCTCACTGAGGACAATTGTTACTTCATCTGGATTGTTACATATCTGTCAAGCACCCTTGAAAAGGCCTTGCAGGTCAAGGTCACCTGAGAGGAGTTCAGGTCACCAAGGATGATGGAGGGTTCCTGGGCACTGGGGTCAGTCTGCTAGCTGTGCCTGGGAGACCTCTGGGAACCCTGGAATCCTGTGAACGTCCAGGGAAACCTATTGTGACACGAACTGGCCCGAGAAGGCTCATCTGCCTCAGTCTTGGCGTCACTCAGAAGGGTTTGATTGCAGACATGTTTAACCCACTGGCTCTAGATTTTCCTGCTGTGATTTTTGACAATGGATCTGGGCTCTGTAAGGCAGGACTGTCTGGGGAGATTGGGCCCCGCCATGTCACCAGCTCCATTGTGGGGTACCCGAAGTTCAAGATGCCCTCAATGGGAGCCAATCAGAAGAAGTATTTTGTTGGGGAGGAAGCCCTCTACAAACAGGAAGCCCTGCGCCTGCATTCCCCCATCGAGCGGGGGCTGGTCACAAGCTGGGATGATATGGAGAAGCTCTGGAGACATCTCTTCGAATGGGAACTGGGCGTGAAGCCCAGCGAACGACCAGTGCTCATGACGGAGCCCTCCCTGAACCCGCGGGAGAATCGGGAGAAGACAGCGGAGATGATGTTTGAGACCTTCGAAGTGCCCGCCTTCTATCTCTCAGACCAGGCCGTGCTGGCGCTCTACGCCTCTGCCTGTGTCACGGGTCTGGTGGTAGACAGCGGGGATGGGGCCACCTGCACTGTCCCTGTCTTTGAGGGTTACTCCTTGCCTCATGCAGTCAGCAAACTTTACGTGGCTGGCAGAGACATCACGGAGTTCCTCACCCGGCTCCTCCTGGCCAGCAGGAGGGCCTTTTCATGCCCACTAGAGAAGGCCCTGGTAGATGACATCAAGGAGAAACTATGCTACGTGGCCCTGGAGCCTGAGGAGGAGCTCTCTCGGCGGGAGGAAGACATCTTGAGGGAGTACAAACTGCCCGATGGGAATGTCATCTACATCGGAGATCAGCTGTACCAGGCTCCAGAGGTCCTGTTCTCTCCAGACCACCTGGGCATCCACGGCCCGGGGCTGGCACAGATGGCATCCAACAGCATAGCCAAGTGTGATGCCGATATACAGAAGACCCTCTACGGGGAGATTGTGCTGTCAGGGGGCACCACGCTATTTCAGGGGCTGGATGACAGGCTCCTGCGGGAGCTGGAGCAGCTGGCTTCCAAGGGGGTCCCCATCAAGATCACCGCACCCCCCGATCGCTGGTTCTCCACATGGATCGGAGCCTCCATTGTCACCTCTCTGAGCAGCTTTAAGCAGATGTGGATCACCGCCGTAGACTTCAAGGAGTTTGGGGCATCGGTGGTCCAGAGACGGTGCTTCTGAAGGAGTCCCTGCTCCCAGTAGCCACGGTGTCCCTTGGGAGGGACGCCCATGGGAAGTGAGCGTGCTCACAACTTTAGCACCATTTTCAATAAAAGATGAATGGTCAAGGACTGGGCTTGCCACGTTCGGTTCATTCTCTGAGGTTGCAGAGTTGCTCTGAGTGAGTGCGAGTGTGTGTGCACACGCTCATGCATAGGTGTGTTCACCTGTGGATGGGTGCCTGTGTGCGACCTCGGGTATCCTTCCTCAGGAGCGGCCTTGTGTAGCAATAGGATGTTAGGCTCTTTGGATTCTTTGGGGGGCACCATCCAGTTCCCAAATGAATCACACATGGAGTCTTATTATTCATAAATGTCCAGCCTTAGCTTGGCTTGTTTCTTGCCTATTTTTTTTTAACTTGTGTTATCCCATCTACCCTTTGGCCGCTGGGTTTCCCCCGTTTTCTTAGGTCTTTAAATCTTACTCTGTGGTTTGCTGTGCAGCTCAGTGGCTGCCCCTGGTGACCCTTGCTCCTCCAGCTCCTACTCCAAACCCCCCTCCCAGTTTTCACATATTTTCTCTCTGCCTGCCAGCCCCGCCTGTCCTTTCTCCTGCCTCTCTATTGGCTGCTCAGAGCTTTATTAGATCATATGTGTTCGAGACAAAGTATCACAGTTTCACAGAATTAAGCAAATACCACATAAACAGAAGTAACACACCTTAAAGTAATGTTCCCAACATCCTTGCTTTTATTTCTTCTTTTATTGATTTTTTAAAGATTCATTTTAGGAACCAACCACAGTTTCCCCTCCCTTCTCTTCTCCTGTTCCCTCCCCCTACCTCCTTTCTACTCACCCCCATCCACATCTCAGAAAGGGTAAGGCCTCCCATGGGAGTCAACAAAGCATGGCATACCAAGTTGAGGCAGGACCAAACTCTTCCCCCCTGCATCAAGGCTGAGCAAAGCATCCCAACATAGGGAATAGGTTCCAAAAAGCCAGATCATGTACCAGGGACAGATCCTGATCCCACTACTAGGGGCCCCATGAACATACTACGGTCACCCACATACAGAGGGCCTAGGTTAGTGTCATGCAGGCTCCCTAGCTATCGATCTACAGTACATGTGTAGTGATTTCATTTGTATTTTAGTAAATAAAGCTTGCCTGAAGATCAAGGAGTAAAACAGCCCCACTGGTCAGCCTTACAGACCAGGCAGTGGTGACACACACCTTTAACCCCAATAGCCACACTAGTTTGTCACAGAAACTGGGCAGTAGTGGTGCCTGCCTTAAATACCAGCCCCAGGGAGGGATAGCGGGTGGGAGGAGACAGCTCTCAAATACAGTCTTATTCAGAGATTCCTGGAGGCAGAGTCGCCATTTCGGACTGAGGTAGAGGTAAGAGCAAGTGGCTGTCTGAGGATGTTTCTCAGCAGCCTTTGCTTCTTCCTCTTGCAGGGAGGGGCTTAGTGAGTTTGGTCAGATTCAGGGACTTCCTGTGGCCATTTTGAGTTGTTTACATCCCTGCAGTACTGCTACACAACTATGTTGGTACTGGAAATTGAACCTGCATTCTCTGGAAGAGTAGTTGGTACTCTTAACTGTGAAGACATCTCTCTGGTCCCTCTGTGTCTTTTTATGTGAGTGCTGGGGATTAAATTTGAGTTCTCATATTTGAGTATAAATAACTTTACTCTCTAGACTATCTTCAAAGTAACCTCAATAGGCTACCCCACTCCTTTGAAAAAGCACTGGTCTCCAAAATATACAAAGGACAGAAGAAACTTGACATCAAAAGAACAAATAATCCAACAAAAATGGGGTACAGACCTAAACAGAGAACTCTCAACAGATGAATCTCAAAGGGCTAAAAGGCATTTAAGGAAATGCTCAACATCCTTAGCCATCAGAGAAATGCAAATCAAAACAACTGTGAAATTCCATCTTACACTTGTCAGAATGGCCAAAATCAAAAACACTGATGACATCTTATGCTGGAGAGGATGTGAAGTTAACAGAACACTTTTCCACTGCTGGTGGGAGTGCAAACTTGTACAGCTGCTTTGGAAATCAGTATGGTGATGTCTCAGAAAATTAGGAAACAATCTACCTCAAGATCCAGCAATATTACTGTTGGGTATATACCTAAAGGACACTCAATCATACCATAAGGATGTGGGCTCAACTATGTTTATAGCAGCATTATTTGTAATAACCAGAACCTGGAAACAACCCAGATACCCCTCAACCAAAGAATGGATAGAGAAAATGTGGTCCATTTACACAAGGGAGTACTACTCAGAGGTAAAAAATAATGATATCTTGAAATTTGCAGGCAAATGGATAGATCTAGAGAAAAACATATTGAGTGAGGTGACCCAGACCCAGAAAGACAAAATAGTATGTACTCACTCATAAGTGGCTTTTAGACATAAAGAAAACAACAACAACAACAACAAAACACCCTAGAGTTCACAACCCCAGAGAACCTAGACAACAAAGAGGATTCTAAGAGAGACATACATGGATCTACATAGAAAAGTGAAAAAGACAAGATCTCCTGAGTAAATTGAGAGCATGGATGTCATGGGAGAGGGCAGAAGGAGAGAGGGGAGGAAAGAAGTGGAGCGGACAAAAATGTATAGTGCAATATAAACAATAAAACTGTAGTGTTCTCCCAGACAGAGTAAACTGATGCTCCTTTGTACACTGTGGTGATATGTTGCTTGTAATCTAACAAATAGAGCTTGTCTGAGGATCAGAGTGTGGAGCAAACCACTAGGTAGCCATAGAGGCCAGACAGTGGTGAGAGCTACAAATGTTTTAATCTGTCCAAAAGAGTAACAGAGCTCACACAAGGGGATCTCAGCACTTGGGATCCTTTAATCCCAGCACTAGGTGGATGGAGACAGGAGTGATATGGATGAGCAGAGAGAGGACTATAAGGTGGGAGGAGACAGGAGCTCAGTGCAGTCTGAGGATACAGTCTGAGGATGCAGTCTGGAGATGGATACAGTCTGGAGATGATGCAGTCTGGAGATGCAGTCTGGAGACGCAGTCTGAGGATTCGTAGACATGATCGCCCCTTCGATCTAAGCACTGGTAGAGGTGAGCCCTCTCTAGCGGCTGATTGCTCTGCTTTTCTGATCTTCAGCATTAACCCCTATTGCTGACTCTGGGTTTCTATTATTAAGAACAATTAGAATTCACATGTCATTCATCTTAAAAGGAGTTTTCTAAAGACAAGGGGAAACATTACAGAGGGGACTTGTAGGGGCCAATATAGTAATTGACAGTTCTCATGCATAAGCCTTAAGTCAGATGAGCTGATAATCCATGCACAGACAGGAAGGATGACCATATTTGGAATGAGAGGAGGGCTTTCCATGTGTGAACAGTATCTAGCGCCCTATATTCTGCAGTGTGTTCTGCCTTGGGGCTTGACTTGAAACACCTTCAGATCTCAGCTGCTCCTCTAGAGAACAGTTCAGGATTTGGGAACTCCCGGGAGCAGGTGCTCTGAGCAACTCAGAGACCCAGACTCATACTGAAGACTAGACACAACTGAAGCAAGGATCTGACCAAGGTGCCCCCCATATACCATCAACCATGGCCCATTGTACAGCACAGCCACCACCTGAATATCACAGAGTGTTTAGTTATTGTCTCAAGCAGCGTTAGGTTGCGAAGGCTGGGGCTGGCTCTGCCTCTGCCACCTCCACGGTACCCTGAAATCCTAGCACCCAATTCAGGGTCAGAAGGAGATGGAGATAGGGCTGGTGCCCCAAATGCCTCACCAAGGTAGGGCTGGGGTGCAGGACTGCAGGTGCAGTTGATAACCATGATGAGGCCAGTCTGCCAGTGGGCAAGCAAGGTTGCTTCAGGAGGACACAGCCGCATAGGTAGAAATCAAAGCTTCTGGCCACCAGAAGCTACACCAGGCCAGAAGGATCTTTCCCAGAACCCTCAGAAGGAACAAACCAGGTTTGACCTCAGACTTCAACATTCTCATGGGTGAGGAAATTCTCATTCATGAATCTACCTGGTTCTTCCCCCAGAACTATCCTCCACCCGGGAGACTTCATCCTCCCAGGATACACACACTGAGAAGCCCAGCCCAGGCACTCACTTGCTCGCTTGCTCGCTCACTCACTCACTCACTCACTCGTCCTTCATTCATTCACTTCCTCTGATCCAGGAATCCACATCTCATTCACCCACTCATTCTTTATTTCCACCATCATCTCACTGCCCTCAAAGGAAGCCCACAGTGCAAGGAATGGATGTGTCAGCTGTGGGCCCCCAGGAAGCAGAGGAGGTTTGGAAGATAGGGAGAAGAGAGCCGAGAGGCCAGTCAGCGAGGCCGGCTGACTGTGCAGGTGACAGAATAAGCCCTGGGAAGGGCAGAGCAGGAATTCCATGTCCCTCAGTTGCTCTCCTGTGTAGTGCTGGTGCGGGGGTGGGGGCGGTGTTCAGACTCTGCACACCTGTGAGGGCCAGATGCTGTCCAGATGTGTGATGTGAGAACCAAAGAGCCCCAGGTGTGAATTTCTTCTGGCCCTGAGCCTTGGCCTCCTACGAAGTTTTAATGTCCCAATGGGATGTTTCCAGGGGCAGATGAGCTGCGTGTGAGGAAGAGACGGTGTGCCCACCAGTGCCTTAGCCACCACTTGTTGCACCCAGGGTATGAGTCTGAGCAGCCAGTTACTCTGTCCTTCTCTGGAACCAGCAAGAGACGGGGTTCTAATGATTCCTATTGAGCCACAGGGTAGGGAGAGCCTCGGGCTCCAAGTGCGCACCTGTCCCCTTCCATGGCTCCTTTATTTCCAGGGCTGGGCAGGGCTCTGGGGACTTCCAGGCTCCCAGTTTTTTGTGTTGTTACAGAATTTCTGTCCACGAAATGAATCTAAACACATAGTCCACCTAATTCCTCATGAGGGAGCTGCTTAAGAGCTCAGCCTGGAGCTTGGCAATCCAACAGAGATAATCAGAGCAGCGTGGCCGGGAAGCCAGGGCGTTCTGAGGGTCCAGCATACATGTGGTGGCCAGGACCTCTCCCCAGGGCTGTCCCTTCTAGATAACCTTGCTGACTCCATGCTGTCTCAGAGGTGGCTTCCATTCTTTCTAAG